ATATCTTTAGCTGTTATAATTTAAAATTTATTATTTATTGCTTTATGTTAATACTAAACTTATCACAATAATTATTTTTTGGCAATTTCGGGTAGTAGCACTTTGGTAGAGCTTGCGCCCTTAGGCCCCTAAGTGGTCACCTAAGCGTTAATAATTTTTAAGGCTAGAATGCTTTAACAAGGTCTTTTTTCATTTAAAATGTGGTACACTTGCTCTAATATAGCAATTAGCTACCAACTAAGTTTTTATTATTTTTACTAATTTAAGACGGAATGTTCCAAAATATAGTTTTTCTGTTTAAAAGTTAAGGCACCTGCAACAATGTGCCTTTGGGTAGACACTTAAGGGTTAATAATTTATACTAGACTAGATTAAAATGCTTAAAATCAGCGCACTTGGTCCTATGAACCCTTCGGTGACCACCTAAGTGCTAATAATTTTTAATTATACTAGGTTGGAATGCTTCAAAAGTTCATTTTTCGTTTAAAGTATAGCACACTTGGTTCACTAGACCCCCTCAGTGACTACATACGGGCTAATAATTTCCAATAAATTAGATTGAAAAGTTCAAGTTTATGTATAAAATATAGCTGAGGACATAAATAATACTAATAATGTCAGTTGACTCAAACAGAAACTGTGGCAATCCTATGGCATACCGTTCGAGGTTGCACTCCTCAGACAGTGCGGCTGACAAGCGCACAACCAAGGAGTTGTCATCGTATGTACATAAATAGGCACTTTTCAACTTATCCTAGTCCTTTAAATTAAATACAAAGCTTCAACGCTTCGTCCCGCATCACTAGGATTCATCTGGCTTTGATGTGCGCTCTAGCGGAAATCCTTCCGGCTTGCTGCTCTTCCGCTGCGCCTGCGTAATCTGCACAATTCGTGAGAGCGGCGAGTGTGTGCTACCCGTTGTGGGCGGGCGCGCCGCAGCGCCGGTGGGGACAACCGGTGATGCGGTCGCTGACGTGCTGCTGGACAGCAGGCGCGTAGTGCTCGACACTGTGCCAGCACTGCCCGTCGGGCTGGTTGGACTCGGATCGCCTGAACTGCTGGTCGACGATGGTGTTGTTGATATATTGAGTTCGCGTGCTAGCGGCGAGGGACGCAGCGATAGACGACGTTGCAGTACACTTTGAGAAGAAGCTGGCGACAGCGCGGGTGCGGTCGGTATAGTTTGTTGTGGTAGCGCGCTATTCACATTCGCGCCTGGTGGCGGCGCCTTGCCGGGCGGTATTTGCAACGCGGTTGGACGCACGCTGAAGCGGCGCTTGAACTTGTTACTTGGCGTTGAGGCGTTGCCACCATTTGGTGGCGCATTGGTGTCGCGCTCACTGTAGCTGGGTGGTGGCTCAGGAATTTGTTGTACAGCTGATGACTTGCGGCGGCGCGTGAGAACGCTGGTTGGACCCGAGGACTGTGCGAGGCCGGTGGTCGAGCCCGAGGGTGTGTTGTTGAATGAGGAGGTGGGCAGCGCTCCGACGACAGTGGAGCGACGCGCGTACATACGGTTTGCGGCAGCCGCGTTCATGGCGCGCTTGTTGTCGCCGCCCAATAGGGAGAACAGTGGTGGCACGTCAGGCAGATCGAGGCCAGCGTTGCCCACTTTGCGTTTCTTATTCTCACTGCCGAAGATGCCACCCATGTCGTTTGCAGTTATAACGGGTGGACTATCGGCGGTTTCCTCCAACACGGTCGCTGTATGCATTGCCTCTAGCGCGCGTATCAAATCAGCAATTGTCGTATTCTCCAACACTTCACGCTCCTCTTCTGAGGCGACCGAGAAAAGGCTGGGGCGGCGATCGTTGCCACCGGCGCCGCGTCCTCCATTGGCCGGGAACAGACTGCCGCGCCGCGACTGTGGTCCAGCGGTGCTGAAGAAGCTGCTGCGGCGTTGGGTGAGTCCGGCGGCGTTTGAGGTGGGGAACAGACTGCCACGGCGTGCGCCAGAAGCCGGGTTTTGCGTGAATATGGATTCACGCCGCTTGCGCCCACCACCACCATTCAGCGCGCCTGCTGGTTGTTTTGCGGTTAGACTGCTGTCCGAAGGATAACTGACTGGTAGTGCAGGCAGCACAGGCTTGCCATTGGTGTAGTAGGGTGGTTGCGTATCCGCCGCCACCGTGCTGTAGTAATCCAGCGGTGGTGTACGACGTGCCGACTCTGGTACGCTTCTAATCGAAAAGCGGCGCGAGCCATTTGGCATTGATATATCCGTGCTAGGATCTTGCGCCGTTATGCGCTCCTGCGAGGAGCGTTTCTTCGAGGGGAACAACTTGCGCAGGCCATCTGGCATAGAGAACTTTTTGACGCGAGACTTCTGTGGCTCCTCCTCTTCCATGTTCACAACGTAATCGCGTGGCGGTAGACCAAAACTGGAGCGATACAAATCCTCGCTGTCACCTTGCTTGTAGCGGCTGTTGATTGCCTCTTGTATTCGGTCATTGTCGCCGCTCCAGGTCCATTCATTGGGCAGTGCAGTGGGGCGACGTTGACGCCATGGCGGCTCGAAGTTGTAGTCAGAGTTGGCACGTCCGCGTGGTTTAGGCATGTCGTTAGCGCTCGGATAAGACCACTCACTGGCGAGTATTTGCGAATCAGAGAATCCATGGTAACCACCAAAAATGCTGGCATCGTCTTCCTCCTGCGCTGGTACGCGTACGGCTCCCAGCGCATTGACCACCTTGGCTAATAGTTCCGAGGTCTGCAGGAATGCGTCGGCGTCTTGGAAGGACTTCTGTTTGTCTAACTTGTCCAGCTCTGTATCGGAAGAGGCGTGCACAGGTTCGAGCATGCCGCGTGCCTCGACCACATCGTAGCTCTCGGAGAATGCCCGCTTGCGTGGGAACTCCGGTGGCGGTTCGGCGCGATACATGGTTAGCTCTGGGGCGGAGTTGGAGCGATGCAGCTGCTGACTTGTATCCGGTTCGGTGTAGACAGGCTTTGGGCGAAGGAGGAGAGGAGAATGAAAGAAATATATTGGGGTTGATAAAAGGAGAATATTAACATCGACATTTTTGAATAAAACTTATTTAGAAAAAAATATATCATAATAACATATACATGCATATATATGTAAGCAAAAAATTTATTTGAGAAAACAGAAAAATCAGTTGCATAAAGTTAAATTCTTCTAAGCGTTAAGTGCATTTTTTTACAAAATACCCATAGTAAAAAAAAAATTTATTTTATAAAAATTAAGAAAAAATTTTAAAATAAGAAATTTAATGGGAAATTTTCAAATTTTTTACTTTGCCAATAAGTTGGAATTTCGAAAAATTTAACAATCGGTAATACTTCCTTTTAATTAAAAATACTATGACTTAGAAAAAAATGTTTGTTTCAGAATTCGATAAACATTGAAGTTCTGAAAACTATTAGGAACTCGCGAGAAAATTAATAGTTTCCATAGATGGAGAAACACTAAAATTTAATTTTTTAAAGTTAGAATATGAAATGTAGAAGGGGAGCTCACGATGTGTAGCATTTTGGGTGTTGTTGGAAAAGCAACAAAACGCATGCTAGATTACTTTACACCTTAAATGCTACATTGTACAAAAAATATCATCTAAAAAAAATTAGGAAGTTTTAAAAATTAAAATCTACTTAATAAACTATGATAAGGAAATAATATTAATCAACTTGTATCATTTAGTTTGATTTAAAATTTCAACGATTTAAAAAAAATCAAATAAAATTATATTTTCACATTCAAAAATTCGAAAATTTTCCACCTCAAAACATATTTTTTATACAAGAAAAACGCCAACATGAATCGAAAAAATATTAATTATAAGCTTTTCCTATGAACCTAAAAAAATTTTAAAAATTTATGAATCCAAAGACTTTTTTATTTAAATAAGTTTAAGAATTAATTGCATTTAAATTTTTAAAATCAGTTATTGGGAAATTCAGATATAAAAAAAATTTAAATTTTTAAAAAGTTATTAATATTTTTATTAAATTATAACTAACACAAAATAATGCTGCCCGCTGTTATCTCAACCCATACTTACAGCAATTTTCTTGCGGCCAATATTATTGATTATTTTAGAAAAATAACTATAAAAAATTAAAAAAGAACAAAAATCGCCTTAAATTGCTGTGTTTTATTAAACAAAAATTCAACCCGCTTAGTAATTGTGGCACACAAATACAACAATGT